AAGCTCTATCTCCAGCTCCAGCCGCTCGACTTACCTCATCGTCCCCTCCTTCCTCGTGAGTCTCCAGACGCTCATCCTTAATCTCCTGCTCTTCCGTAGCCATTTTGATAGATTTGTAGTGGTGACCGATTCCCTCCGCTTCGGACAACGAAAAGAAAAAGTCGACAGCAATGACGATGTTCCGCTTGTCTAGCCTAGTGCCCGCGAGACGAAATTTGGAAGATCAGAGTATCCGACCAGAAGTAAAGAACGAAAGAGCTTAGAAGCACAGGAGAGTCCTGGTCCTGTTAAAGAAAGAGTCTTCGCACAACAACACAACTGCTATAATGGTTGTCAATTAAGCAGAGCAATAGACAACGAATGTGATGCCCTCGTTGATCGGCGCCTGGGTTAATGCGACGCTGCTCTTTCCGGCTTAGCGGCATTCGCCATCTGAACTTCCTTGAACTTCAAGAAACCAATCTCGCTGATAGAAGCTCTGGACAAGTATAGTTCGGAGAGGCCGATTGAAAATACCTTCAGAGCATCATATATATGTAGCCACGACAATCATTGGCCCCTCCTTATCTAAGTCACGATCATGGTTATATTATTCATCTCGTTTAGTTTCTATCATATATCTTCCATCTTTTGGCCTCTGGTTAAATTCAAGAGATCTGCAGATCAGAAGAGCACTGTATAGATGTCACATTTTACCGGAAGTCCATTGCCACCGATGTACTAAGTCACATCAATCAGCAATATCCCTTGTAGTTAGCCAGGATCGCAAGGTGGGACGGCTTTTTAGACTGTAATAGTCCACGGTGACAGACCATACTAGCAAATGTAGAGTCATAAAGAGCATATCTCAGTGATCATTGACTGGAATATTTTCACGCTAGCTTCAGCATCAGAGAACAGATTATGGAGCGCTAGAGAGTTGACAGTGAAGTGGAACAAGGGCGTCGTAATCGGGGAGGTCTATGGGATATATACAAGCGCATTAAGAAGAGAAACGTCGACTCATGAGGATGGCATATTGTTCTTGCGGAATGAAACCTTCTCGACCGCAACAGTCTCGACCCCGTTCGCATCCGTCTTCAGCTGGTAAACATACAACACCAACACGTCTCCTTGGATCTGCTCCTCATCAGTAATCGTCGGATAGGGTCATGAACCGCGCATATATATGTAAGGTCGGGACACTCACATCCATCAAACAGAAGCTGGGTACGGGTTCTTCGCCTTCTGGCCAATAGCCAGTGCTCATAGCACCTGTGGCACTTCCAGGATTCACAAAGAACCTGCCTTCCATCTCAAAGGCTTCGAAACGATGTGTGCCTCCCCACAGCAAGATATCTACGTCCATTTGGCGGGCTGCAATCAGTAGGGCATCGGCATCGCCCGACGGAATGATGGTATGGCCATGAGTAAAGCCAATGCGGAGGCTACCGTGCGTCACCACCTTGGAGAGGGGCAGGTTGGGAGAATCGACATCGAAATCGCCTTTGACCAATTGTAAGTCTGGGGCAACCTGGCGCAGAAACTCAAAAGTTTCCCTATCGGTAAGGTTGCCTAGACATAGGATCTGACCGATCTTCCCCGGTGTTAAGAGCTTCCGGAACTGCGATTGTGTCAACCAAGAGAAGGATTAGGTAGAGCGAAAGCGATGATGGGTACCTTGGCTGGGAGATCCTAACCAGTAGCGACTGCAAGTAAGCGCAATGTCTAATTAACCATTAAAGGGAAGGATGGAGCCACTTACCGGAGCTCTATCAGGAATAAACAGGTCACCAATGACCAGGACCAGGCGGGATGTCATCCTGGATTGAGGGGATTGCGGGGTTTCGAAGGGTTTCAACGGCCCATTCCAAGGCAAAAACGAATTCTTGAGAACTCGCGGTTGAGAAGACGAGAGAGTGGCTGAAGTTGGTTGGCTGATCGATGATGGTTGTGATAATACTGACCTAGATCTAGATGGGATGGGCTAAGTTAAGGTAAGCCTGTAAGCCTAAGGCAGGTACTTTCGCGGGGAAAGCTTAGATATGCCTTGACGCCTGGCGCCGATGCCGCGCGTGGTCTCTTCCGTGGTGATTGGGTCCTTTGATAGATACTACAGGTAATGATCGAATACATGCGCAGATACTTAACTCGCGAGTGGTCTTGCGTTGAATGTTGAATAGTGCCGTCTACATAAATTGATAAAGAGGCCTGAAATTGAATACAACTTCCATTTGAAGTGCTAATCCAAGCTCATAACCTACCTCTTGAACAGTGGAATATCATTAATCATACTATGCCTTGAGTGTCTCAACAGATTTGAACGCTCCAATCATCAAGTCTTCGCTCCGGTGTTTATGAATATACGTCAAAATAGCTTCATCTAGATTATCTACTTCGTACATACCAGGAGGGGTCGCGGAGGTAATCGCAGGACGGAAGGCTCCGCCCGATTGATGAGTCGAAACGCCCTAATAATTTTACGGCCGATACGGAGTAAAAGGGAAAGGTTTCTTTGGGACACTCAGTAATCCTCAGGGTGAAAAATAGCACAGTCTGAATTGGGACCTTGTATATCCCTATATAATACTTGCGATTCAATCCCTTCAATTGTGGTCATATTCGACCTACCTAATACCACCCTGGTATACTTATCTGCCAGATAATAATAATAATACCTGGCAAGACAATTCTCCTACCCGGCGATCCCCGAACCCAAAAAAAGTCCCAACTTCCATGTGCTTGAGCTTGTGAAAGCCCCTCCATAACCGATATCCTTTACCCCGCGGGCTCTCCCGTCAAGAGCCGAACGACATCGGAACGCTGGCGACCAAGCAGACGACGCAGCGCTTGAGCCTGATCTCCAGACATCTGGATCAGCGTCTCCCGCTGCCTGAGCTTAACACTCCCTTCTCGACCGAGAGACACTCACTCCAGCCAGACGATCTTGAATATAAGCCTCTTGATCGCACCTCTCTACCTTCCACTCCCCTGAGACAGTCCACATCCTCGGCTGCCAGAATGTCGTCCCAAGCCCCTCACTCCACCCTGTTGATTCCAGGACCCATCGAGTTCGATGATGCTGTCCTTCAGTCTATGTCCCACTATGCGTGAGTTCCCCCCAGAGTCTGCCTCAACCGAAGAGAATTATGATTCCTATCATGGCTGTCAAACCCCGCTAAAACTGTCCTCTTGATACTTCCAGTGAAAGCCATGTCAGCCCCGCCTTCGTCAAGGTCTTTGGAGAGACCTTGACCCTGGTTCGGAAACTCTTCCAGTCCACCAAGCCCTCCGCACAGCCCTTCGTCATCTCTGGCAGCGGCACGCTCGGCTGGGATGTTGTGGCTTCGAACTTGATCGAGAAGGGCGAAAATGCGCTCGTCCTGCACACCGGATACTTTGCGGATTCCTTTGCTGCCTGCTTGGAGACATACGGCGCTCACGCGACACAGCTCAAGGCACCTATTGGCGACCGTCCGTCCTTCGAGCAGATCGAGCAAGCATTGAAGGAAAAGCCCTACAGGATAATCACTATTACCCACGTTGATACCTCAACTGGCGTGCTGAGCGACATCAAGCGCGTCACGGAGATTGTTCGCCGGGTCAGCCCCGACACCCTTGTGGTTGTCGATGGAGTTTGCAGTGTCGGATGCGAGGAGATTGCCTTTGATGAGTGGGACCTGGATGTGGTCCTGACTGCCAGTCAGAAGGCGATCGGCTGCCCTCCCGGTCTGAGTATCTTGATGCTCTCCGGCCGGGCCATCGACCGCTTCAAGTCCCGCAAGACCCCTCCCTCATCGTACTTTGCCTCGATCGCCAACTGGATGCCAATCATGCAAAACTACGAGAACAACAAGCCCTCCTACTTCGCCACCCCCCCCACTCAGCTCGTTCACGCTTTGCACACTTCTCTGTCTCAGATCACCGCACGCCCCATGGCTGAGCGCTTTGCTATCCACGCCCAGACTTCAGACCGCGTCAAGGCTGCCATTGCTGAGCTCGGTCTACGCCAATTGGCCTCCCAGCCCGAGAGCCAGGCTCACGCCATGACGGCCATCTATCTGCCCGACGGCCTGACTCCTGCAGATGTGCTTCCCGGTCTGTTGAAGCGCGGTGTCATCTTCGCAGCTGGCCTGCACAAGGAGATTGCCACCAGATACATCCGATTCGGACACATGGGTGTGAGTGTAACAGACCCCGCACGCAACGATATTGACAAGGCCATCGCGGCGCTCAAGGAAGCTCTCACAGAGGCTAAACAGGCCAAGGGCCTGTAAACTGTGTAGAGGGGATACATCTGCTCGAATCTCACGGTTTCCTTCTTTGTCTCTGTAGCATGAATAAATGACCATTCAAAATCTGTCTACACATAGATTACACATCAATACACTAAATGAAATTGAAAGATATTATAGACACTTGGTACATTTAGACTTCAATTAAGTTTACCTTGCATTACTGATGATTGATCCAGACCACGTTATCCAAGGCGAATCCCTGAAAATGATCGAGTATACCAATGCAGTAAATAGCTCCTTTTCCTTTATGGTAAAGTAAGTATCATTCGCAAGACGCTCTCAGGTACCTACGCGGGCTCCTTAGGTGATCAAGTCCAGACTTCTTGCGAAGAGCCAGTAACTCAATACTTCTGATGCCTGTACTAAGTATCGAAAATACCACTATTGATATTCCTCGTCATCGAGACTTGACCTAGTACGCTGAACGACATGGATAGTAGGGAAGGAATCGAACTGCATAGAGGACAAGTATAAAAATTGAACGCAGGACAAATCACTTATTACAAGGAAGTAAACTTGATCATAAGAAAGCACAACACAGGCAGGGGGTATGAATAATGCTAGGCATTCATCATGAGCATCGATAGAAATCGGCTCTCTTTACAGGAAGAATGAGAAACATGAGTAAGAATGCAGTATATCGGTGCCAGAACCTTTAAAATTCTGTATAATTTTCATTTTGCTCCTCTGTCCCCGCGTCCCTTTCTTCATTGCTGTTCCAGCTTATATTTCTCCTTCCCCTCTCCGCAGTGCCAGAAATGCCCGCACATCGGTCACATACTGCAAAGCTTCAAGCATGGGGATGAGATTCAGCAAACCGTTGTCTGTAGGATCATTGATCCAGCCCTCAATTGGTATAGCATTGTCTAGATACGGTCAAGTCAGAATATGGATAAACGAAAGACGGACGCTCGGTATGGATTTAACCGACGCACCTTCGTGAAAAAGGTAGCTCATAGGGCTATTGTCCAGAATCATCACTTTGCTCAGGTCAGGCTCCACAGAGCTGAGGTCCTTGATATATGCGCCATTGCGGAACGTGCAATGCTGGCGGTAATATCGTGCCTGGAAGTACTTGCGTTCCTGCTCGAGCCAGTCGATGACAGGGTCCGCATATTCCTGAACGCTGGCGGTGAAAATAACCAGCTTATACCATTTGCATACCTTTCGTAAAAAGTCGTCGCAATTGGGCCGTTTATGAACGTAGTAGAGGATGGGATGTTGCGGCCCTAATGTAGTCGGTGGTCCACCTGGGGTTAGAGCAGTAGTCATGGGAGTAGCAAGCTTGACTTCAACCATGTGGCCGCTGGACATGCGACCGCCTTTGGCCAGGGAATGAATAAGAGTCTCATCTAGGTCCAGTACCAGGGTCTTCTGAGGAGCGCGTGAGTTTCGAGGAGCGGCAGTGTACGAAGGCAGACGAGCTGGAATCAGCGGCCGAGGAGGTACAGGAGAATGAGGATATTTGGTGACTCTATGAACGGAAGGCGATGTGGGTGATTTGAGAGTGTCTGGACTCACAGCACCTTGTCCTCTGGCCGCAACAGTTTCCGACGTAGCACCTAGATCTGCGCTTTGCGTCCGGCGCTGCCTCTCTCGCTTCAGCGAACCTTCATTATGTAACTTGATGCGGATGGAGCGGCGAGGGGTACTCTCTTCTCCAGTCGGGTCCAAGGCTGTGGTTTGCGACTTCGAGGCTCGAGCCCGAGTACCCGTGAGGCCCTGGGTGCTCCGACGATCTCCTTCCGACTCGGACGTGCTCGATGCGATCGAGTCTCGCGATGCGTGACTTCTCAGCTTCTTCGTGGATCCACTACGTCGTCTTGCACCGGTCGGTTTGGCATCCTTCTTCGGTGGGCCTGGCCTACGGGAAGCGGAAACGCCGGCCATTGACCGCCGCAGCTTTCGTACCGGGGCCGTTGGGGAGTAATGTCCATCATCGTCTCGGAAGCACTGCGCTATAAACACGCCCGGGGCAGCCAGAGTTGACAAGATAAACTTGATTGTTTCCGCAATGGCGTCAAAGAATCGCTCTGCAATCAGTCCCAGGGTACTCCTCGTAGCAAGCGGCCCATCCCTCTGAATGCTTTGTATCAAAGGCGTTTTCTCAGTCAAGGTATGTTCGGAGTAGTCTATGTCCGCTGAAGATATTCCGGGAGTGTAGTTATGGCTTTTCTCCAATACGTCAGGCGAATGAAGATTGTCGTGACTATAAGACCGAAGCTTGGATCGATCCTCCGGTGGGACCACGGGGTTAATTTCTCCTTGCGAGCGCGACCTCTGTCGGAGACGATTCGAATTGGATGACTGGCCAATGACACGGGAAGACAGGATATTCAACGAGTTCATCTTCCAACACGGCCCACGGGAGTCGGGGCTGGCGCAGTTATCTACAGGACACCGACGGCGAACTCAGCGACCATTCGATTCCCCTTCACCTCGTTTGCGACATGGCAACAAGAGGATGACATACGACTTGTACTCACCTCAATGCGCCAGGCGGCGACCCGTGCTTCGGAACCACTTGTGCCTTTCCAGTCTCAACAATGGGGGGGGGGGGGGGGGGGGGGGGAATAGTAAGATGAGAAGTCGAAGCAGTTGATAAAGGGAACTACCTATTGGCGAGCAACTAGCAGAGGATGTGTTCAAGAGACCAGAAGTAAAGCAGAGAAAGGGTATCAGAAAGGAACAAGGAAGAAATGAATAGAGGATTAGGATAAGACACGGCGATATAACAGCAGATGGCGGCGAGGATGTGGAGTAGGTAGATAGTCGTAGTAGTAGCAGTACTTCAGTTCGGAGTCTATAGTCGGAGTGACACTGGTTGGGCCGAGCGGCAGATCTGAGCGGAAAACTCCCTCACAATAGGTAGATGGTTACTATCGCATCCCACATTGTTCCCCTCATCGTCATTTTGAGTCAAGTCTTTGTTGAGCTTCTAGCTTTAAGAGCTTATTACAAGTCTTGTTGCTGGTAAGCGCCTTTTTCTTTCTCATATGCGTTCGCTCTTTGCATGCGTTTCCTCGATTGCCCCTCTTGGAATATCTGTGTGCGACCCTAGTGACTCAATCCGCTAACCACTGCCCAAGTGACTATCAAGACACTAGGATATTGTCGGATTACCCATGCTTTGAGCAGTCTTAACTGTGACTCGACCGAATACTTCATACACAACCATGCCATCTACCTCCGCGGCTTTGACGCCTGGTCTGGCGTCTTTTCTCAAGTCCCTCAAGACCACTCCAATCGACACATCCATTGACAACCTGATATCGTGCGTTTCTGGCGTCTCATAACCTTTTTGCGCGACGGGCTACCGTTCTAACAGCTATATCAGGCTTTTCAAGCGGAGACAGATCCGTCATTCCAGGTCATGCGCTACCGCGACCGCTTACCTTCTCCTCCGCGTCATCTCAGCTTGCAGGACGACAGATGCAGCTAAGCTGATTGAACGGGTGCAGAGTGTGGGGAGGCGATTGGTGGCCGCTCAGCCAAGAGAGATGGTGGTTGGAAACATTGTCCGCCGTGTACTTGGTCTCATCCGCGACGAAGCTGAGGACGAGAGAGATGGTGATTTCACTCTCAGTGATGCTGGATCTGAAAGTCAGCCTCAAACGCCTCGTGTTCCCGAAGGTCGGTAACGCAACTTTCGCCCTTAGCTCGTTCTCATCGCTTTGATCTCTAACGCTGATTAATAGACCCGTCCGACCCATTGTCACTTCGTCATGAGGGCTCTGAGCGGTCGTCCTCAAGGCCGCCTTTCACTTCGCTGGCCACCACCCCAATCTCAATGTTCAATCTGCTCTCACATCCGGAGCCTGAAACATCACTCCCAGGTACTCCCGCATCGGCGTCTCCATCTGGTAGATTACTGGGACATGCTCCGAGTAGGGATATTCGCGCCGAAGTCCTGGACGGAATTGGAGAGATCATCGATGAACTGGGCCAGGTGGACGACCAAATCGCGGCCTATGCTCTCGACCACATCCACTCCAATGAAATAATCCTCACCCATACTTCCTCCACAACCGTTCAGAAGTTCCTTCTCAAGGCCGCCGCAAAGCGCAAGTTCACCGTGATTCATGCTGAATCCTACCCCAACAATCACGAAGCGACGCACACCACTGTTAGCGGTGCCACTTCCACCGATGAAGAAATTCTCAGCACCGATTCATTCCAGAAGCCGTTGATCGCCCTGGGTATTACGGTCATTCTAATCCCGGATTCGGCCGTCTTTGCTCTCATGTCCCGAGTCAACAAGGTCATTCTGGGCACGCACTCTGTCCTTGCCAACGGCGGGCTGGTGGCCGCAGCCGGAACCCGGGTCATTGCTCGTGCTGCCAAGGCGCACCAGACCCCCGTTGTTGTGGTTAGCGGTGTATACAAACTCAGTCCGGTGTACCCATTTGACTTCGAGTCTTTGATCGAATATGGAGATGCCAGCAAGGTCATCCCATATGAGGATGGGGATTTGATGGATCAAGTCGATGTGCAGAACCCTCTGTACGACTATGTTCCTCCGGAACTTGTTGATCTTTACATTACCAATCTGTAAGTCACGTCCTCGGATTTGCTACAAGAAGAAACAGCACAACTGACTTTGACTTTTTCCTGCAATAGCGGCGGCCATGCGCCATCATATCTGTACCGGATCGTGTCAGACCACTACCGGAAGGAAGACATCAACTTCTAGGTCCTTGTGAAGCGTGTTAATGGTTCATTGAGAGGGGGGAAAAGACGAAGCTTATGATTTGTGGGCTCAAAAAGAGTAAATCACGCTTAGTCTTCACTTGAAAAGTCCTTGGAAATCAGAGGCGTTGGGAATAGAGACGGTCGATACCCCAGGAAAGGAATCTATATAGCTTACCTGTAAACCCCAGTCTATAATAGCGTATCGAGGCCCATTTCATTGGACGGAAGAATTTACATAGATTAGATTCAGGTTGAAGTTCGACCATTTGGTACCGCATTTGTTTAATAAATACGAGCATGAGAGGCGGATCATAATATCGTGGGGAACACGGGAAAGCAGATATTGTTTGAACATTTGACATTCCGGGCCCTTCCCAAAGAAATAAAAAATCATGGCGCCATGTTTTATGAGTATCTCAATCATAGTGACTGCAATGTATTTGCAGGGTCATCCTTCCCGAACCATAATTTTCCAGACCATAGACCATATGTTCCCAGGCTTCGATGGAATGGGGCCCTTTCCCGGCAACCAATCTCCCACGGCATCGTCCATTTCCTTTCGTACAAATTGTTTACGAACGGGGCTTCTCCTTCTTCTCCTTCCACAGAGCGAGCAGACCGACACCAGAGACCTTGACGACCTTGAAACGAACACCAGGAATATCACCCTTGGCCTTGCCCTTACGACCGAAACCAGCAAGGAGAACCTCGTCGTTCTCGTCGATGAAGTTCAAGCAACCGTCGTTGGGGACTGTAGAGATCGTCAAGTCAGCATTTGAGCATTTGCCAGATAATTTCTCTGCTTCTTTTCCACATCTCCCCATCCAAAGCCAATTCTGGATTTGCCTAATCTGTCGTGGCATCCATCAAATATTCCGTCTCTTCTCCATCCCGAGCAGTTTATCGAATGTGCATAAGGAATAGAAAAGGGCTACCCACCGAAAGCGGTGACCTTCTTGCCGTTCTTGATCAGCTGGACCTTGACACACTTCCGAATGGCAGAGTTGGGCTGCTTGGCCTCAACTCCGACCTTTTCGAGGACGATACCCTTGGCGTGGGAAGCACCACCGAAGGGAGAGGACTTGAAAGCGGTACCGAGAAGGCGCTTCTTGTAGTGCAAGTCGGCCCAGCGCTGCTCACGGCGGTGGTTGGCGAGCTTGCGCGCGGCGTTCAAACCACGGGGCTTTCCCTTACCCATCTTGGCGTATTATGTTCGAAGGACGGTCAACTGTAGAGAATGAGCGATTCTGCGTTAGAAAAACTTCTTTGTGCGGACGGTTCGTGGGCTTGATATTGCGAGGGGAGTCGGTGTCGGAGTTTTATCAGAAATGGATGTGCGGGTCGAAGAACAATTTTGATCGCGAAAAAGTTTTCCTGCAAAGATCCAGAAGACAAAAAAAGGGGACCAAAATATACGTACCGACTGAAAACAAAAGTTATCGCCAAAAGGCCTGATGGGATGGTTGTCGAAAGTCGAAGGTCGAATGTTCCTTCACTGCCGGCGGTCTCGTCGGGGCGAAAATGTTCTGCTGTGCGCCTTCGCCCTAAACGGCCCGCTAAGCGAGGTCCCGGAGCGGAGAAACATTGGCCGTCGGTTATCGATAAGCGATAAGTATCCGGACTTTGCTACCTCTGGTATCGTCGTTACAGATTGATAACAGACTACCGAGTACCTTACCTCTCTACAAGAATACTAATTAACCATAACATTAGTGGAGGAGATGCACCTCTTCGTCCAAGTGATTGCCTAACTGCAGCATTATGGACGCCGCTCCGAAGTTGGAAAACTTACGGAAGATAAGCTCCCAGCGTCTTCCACCCCCCGTTCTCTTTCAGGGTCCCCCTTCGCATAATGCATCTAATCTCTCTTTGACCCCGCCGCCCCTACCAGCTGTATCTTCGCCGGGGGGAAGCCAGACGGTCCCTTTGCAACGCAGCCGCCCGTCTAGAGTCCAGGGCTCTTTCGATGCGGCTTCCTTATCGCCTTTTGTTTCTCGCACTCAGTCTAAAGGTGAAGTCGATCGATCCGAAGCCATATGGCAGGAAATGCAAAATGCACTATCAGAGGTAGAGCTCAGTGCAGTGACCAGCGAGCATGTCTTTGGGGAGAGACATTCAGAGGCACTAGAAGATCTCCGTATGAAGCAACTAAAACTCGCGCAAGCCTGGGCCCGCAGTGAGGCCGACGAAGTAGTCGATGCTGCCAGGGGTCTAGAGGCCAAAGGAAAATCTTCTTCACCGCGAGGGTCCCAAAACGTGGGATCCACCGGCGAAAGAGTCCCGGTGGAAGCTTCCGTTCATAGGAATATGGACGAGGAAACAGAACGAGACATCTTGTTAGCCCGAGAAAGGCGAGAGGCCAACGATCGGTACTTCGATCGAGTCAACAACGGTGTCTTGGAAGTGGTTGCCAAACTTGAAGAAGTTGCACAGGCTATGCGCGCAGTTGAGAGGGAGAGCAAAGACATCTGGAGCGATAATGAGAGCATTGATACAACACATTCGGCGGCAAACACCAGTTGAAAGTCTCGCTCAGCGGTGCGACAGAGCTAATTCAAGAGTCAAAGCAACCCTCCGTGTATAGCGTTTCCACTGTCTCCAGTGGCTATCTGCCTTACAGGATCGGCGGTTGATTCAGTAACGGAAGAATGATGGCC